GGTTCTGATGGGTCAGTGGACATGGTTCTGGTTCTGGTTCTGATGGGTCAGTGGACATGGTTCTGGTTCTGGTTCTGATGGGTCAGTGGACATGGTTCTGGTTCTGGTTCTGATGGGTCAGTGGACATGGTTCTGACCTGATAAACTTTGAACTGGTTTAAAGTGACCCGGTCCAAAAGAACCGAACCTTCATCAGAACCAACAGGTGAACACACGCACAGGGTCCGAACCTTCATCAGAACCCAGTAGTGAGGTCCAGATGTGCTGCAACAGAAGCCGGTTCTGGTTCTGGTTCTGGTTCTGGTTCTGGAGAGCGGGTAAAGGATGAGCAGAACCAACCCTTCCTGTCTCTGGATCAGAACACCAGGTTCGGTCCAGAACTGCCCCATCTGTCCTCTGAAGGAAGGAACGGGTCCGGGAGCGGAACCGGGACCAGCCGGTACCAGCGGCCTGCGGGACTCCATCCCGAGCCTCCGGTTCTGGTGTCACTTACATTCATGCATCTACCAGTGCAAACACACCGAACCGAACCGAACTCTTACCGGACGGGTTGACCGCAGCCGGAGTCGCCATGTTTCCTCACCAAAACAAAGACTCAGAACCCGGATCGGTTCCGATGGAGCGGACTCACAAGAACCGCTGAATCCCGCAGTTAGACCGTCCTCAGGCTCGGTCCAGACCCACACTTCACTTCCGGTACCGGCAAGGAACCAGATCGTACTTTAAAGAACCCACACAGAAATGAATTCGGGTCCGAACCGAACCGAACCGAACCGAAGCGACTGGTTTGTAAAGACAGAAGAGGTTCTGTTAAATTATTCTAATAACAAGATGTCTGAAAGGAAACACCGCGAGACTTCAGCTCTGCGTGAAGAAACACACAAAACATCCCGGTGCTGAGAGCCTGGACCCATCAGAACCGGGTCAACATTACAGATCAGGTCCACACCAACCCATCAGAACCACAGGTTCTGATAAAAGGTTCTAATAACGAGAAGCCTGAATGGAAACACCGCGAGACTTTGGCTCTGCATGAATAATTCATGTAAACATAATGGACCTTAGAAAACGGGCTAATCAGAACCGGGTCATGGTTCAGAACCAGCTTCACTCTGACCCATCAGAACCGGTTCAGGGTGCAGAACCAGCATCAATCAGAACTAGAGAAACACTGGAACGGTCACTGGCAGCGCCAGGCGAGATTCTGGCCGCCATCTTGGTAGGTGCTAGGAGCAGGACTGTCCTGTTTCCAGCTTTTCTTCAAGTCTTGTGTTGCAGTTTGTTGACTCTTCAGTCCTGCAGCTCGAATTCATCCTTATTTGATTGAAATAAAACTTTCTGATGTTTTATTAAAAACAGAAGACAGATTATTCTGTAATGAGCCGACAGGCTCAGTCAGCTTCATCCGGTCCAAACAAGTAGTGAAACACCTGCTCCAGTAAATAAGAAAATGATTAATACATTAAAAAAAGCTCTGAATAAACTGAAAGACAATAAAAACATAAAAAACTGGAAGGATGTGTATGTTGTGTATGTGTATTAAACTGATAGATTTCAGTTTGTTAATGTTAATAATGAATCTTCTTCTTACACTAGAATTATTCATGGAGTTCCTCAGGGTTCAGTGCTTGGACCAGTCCTATTTACTTTGTATATTCTTCCTTTAGGTAAAATTGTTATGCTGATGATACTCAGTTATATTTATCCATGAAACCTGATGAATCCAACCAGTTATTAAACTACAAGCA